GAAGAGGCTTTGGGAGTTTTGGTGGTTCTGTGTTGTTCACAGTTGTTCACCTGGGAGTTTCTGGGGCACCTGCCCAGAGCTGTGAGTGCAGGTGAGGCAGGGCAGAGGTGCCACTCCACGGGCACACACTGCTTTCAGTCTTGCTTTCCCAGAGTAACTAAAAGATAATATTTGGGCTCTGTCCCAGGAAATGTGGTAACTTCTGAAGAATTAGATCATGTATATCGTTTAAGGAGGCTGAATAATGTCTTATCATGCTGTCATAGAACCAATTTGGTGTCAAGAGAATAGATGTTTTTCTCCTCCTCCTTGGGCCTGACCTTGTCTGACTATGGCCAAAGTACGTTTGAGTCTGAGTATTTGTTTCTGAATTGTTCAAGAATGTGAAATGGCTTTCTGTGCCTGCCTGGGCAGCACTCTGCAGTCCACAGGGACAGTCAGGGGTGTTGCCCTTTGGCTGTAGCCAAGGGGCAGGCATTCCCTGGAGGTCCCGTGGTGCTGGGTGCTGCCGGAGCTCCTCACCTCTCCACCAAGGTTTGGCTCAGGGCTGAAGCCCCAAAGCCCTTCCATGAAGTGGTTGATGCATTTCATCACTTTTTTCATCTAAAGTGATGCCCATGCATTTGCAAGCTGCAAGTTTTTCCCACCTCAGTGCTGTGGTGAGAACTCCCAGTGCTGTTGGTGTAGCTGTAGTCAGTCAGTCCAGGCCTGATCTCACCTGTGCCCAGGTCCAGCATTCCCATTCCTGTTTCTGGCCAGGTCATGGCAGCTGCCCAAGCCCATCTTGTGAACTTTTGCACAGATCTGTTAGTGTGACCCATTTTGCCTTCCAACAGCAAGGGGTTTGTGTCATTTTATTGTAACATCAACCTGAAAAAGTTCCTCTTCTACTGATGCACTGTTGTTTTTTCTCTCTCTCCCCCCACCCTGTATCTCTCCAATTTTACATGAAGCTTTCTCTCAAGCTGGTAAGCACATTTACAGCATGCCTGTCCTGTGTTTTAATCACAATTTCCTGTGTGTGTTTTAATGTGCACTGTGCCACATATGACATGACACTGAAATTAACTGTTAAATTTGTTTCTTCTTTGTGTTTGCTTTTTTTGACATTTATCAGATAAATCTGAATACACAGGTCTGGAGTCTAATAGAGGTGATCAGAATTCAGTCTTCTAATAAGCTGCTAAAAAATTAACTCTAATATATAGTTTAGTTTTCACTTATTATAATCTAGGGCTATGAAAATGTAGAAAAACAGTATTGAGCAATTCTGCTACTATATAAGTATACATTAAAACATTAAAAGAAGGGGAAAAATTAAAATAAAGGCCTCTGTGCTTGCTGGACTTTTTCCAGAGAGCCATGCATGGGTTTCTGTGTAAAGTAGCTGCAAAGTTTGCTTTCCATGTCCGGTATTACTGGAAATCTGCATCGTTATCACCTACATTTTACAGCCCTATGTAGTCCTTCAGAATAACCAATAATGGTATTAATTAAAGTTCTGTAAACCTTAACCAACAAGGTTAACTCAATCTGATTTGAATTTGCAAATTGAGACGTATGAGTCTGTGTGAATCTTACATTCCATCTTGGATGCAGCAGGGAAGGTTACTTGAGCTATGGTAAGATAAAGATGTTACTGAGCTGGGAAGGGAAGGGATGAGCAGACCTGGGAAAGCAAATTACGTGCTGAACCCCATGCACAAGGAACTGTTTTGCTTGAGACACTCCACACCTTGCTATGTCCCACAGCTTGGCCACATTCCTTTGGCCCTGGAGAGCCCCTCAGCAGGAGAACGTGCCTGGTTTGCTGCCCCACCTTGTGCAAACACGCGAGAGCTGCAGCCACTGATGGCATTTGGGGACCTCAGAGGATCCACAGGGACACCTAAACTGTGTCAGCTTCCAAATTCTCTTACTCCTCACCAGCTTGTGCCTTTGGGTGCTCTTTCCCTTCCCTGTGAGGGTGGTGAGGCCCTGGCACAGGGTGCCCAGAGAAGCTGTGGCTGCCCCATCCCTGGAAGCGTCCAAAGCTGGGGTTGGATGGGGTTTGGAGCACCCTGGGACAGTGGAAGGTGTCCCTGCCCATGACAGGGGGTTGGAACAAGATCAGCTTTAAGATCCCCTCCAACACAATCTGTTCTGGGATTCTGCACTTATCTTGTGCTTGTACACATCACCGTGGGCCTCTTCTGCTCACGGCAGCTCATCCTGAAAAACATGTGGGCCACACATGTTTTGGGTCCTGCTGCTGCTCTGGCAGCACAGAGACTTTCTTGAGCTCCTTTAGCAAGGTTGCTTCTCACTGAAGAGCTGTGGTAGGTCTGAGGAATGATGGGAGTGCCTGGAATACATGCAAACCTTCTTTTGGCTGTTGCCAAGCCACTGTCCTGGGAGTCCACTGCATTAATACTGAATTTCCACTCATTTTCTTGGTCACAGTGCTAGTGTGCTATGTAGCTAAGTTAAGCCTTTGTATGTAGGAATAAATCCTCCAAAAATGGCTGACATGGCCTTTCCCTGGGAATTGCAGAAATTGGAAAGATGTGCAGGGAGGGCTGAGACCCATTTTCACCTCAGATGAAGAAAAGCAGCTTTTTGTAATCTCCTCATGGATCCTCACTATGCAAGAGCCAAAACTGGGGCTGAAAAAGCTCATGTTATCACATGTAGCTTCAGTCCAGAAACTGGTCCTGATACAGGCTCTGTTTTCACAGTCCTTCATCTTGGGACAATTTGAATCCTAACTCAATATCTTTCTGCAAGGAGACCTTGTGAGCAGCACATCAGAAATAGCACAGCTTTCCCCTCACCTCACTGCTGCAGCATTTCTAAAAACACAGGCAATGTCCACGGCTTGAGAGGTAGCCCAGGTGTGTTTGTGCTTGAGAGCATGAAATGTGCCCAGCATGTGCAAAAACTGCTCCTTGACTCTCCTTTTTGAAGCAGGGGCTCCAGCTTCTGATAGGAAATTTCTGAGCACAGCCTAAAGTTGGAGTGAGATCACCTCCCAGCCTTGGGGTGCAGCTCCATGCCACACTCCTGCCTTGGTCTGAAGCATTGTGAGCCAAGCTGCTGGATTTAGTCCAGCTTAGAACTCTTGACTGAACTTGAAGAATCAAAAATGAGATACCAAAATGATGCTTTTCCAAATTTCACTCTATCTGTTGCATTCTACTAATGTACAGCTGGGGATATTTTCGAGTCTGTCTCTTCTGCTTAGAAGTGAGGAGGATATATCAGAATATGTTATCTAGACTTTCCTGTAAGTGCTTGTTTGTTTACAAAGCTGCTCCAGATGCTTTGCCTTAAAAAGATGTGTGTGGCTTTAGTGTAGATTATCCATAAAATAGATTGAATCACTCTCATATCTGTTGTGATGTGGGAGTTGCTGTCAAGCAAAATAAATGTTAAAGAATAAATTAAAATAGATCTCTCCTCTACCAGGCACATAAGTAATGTAAGCACTGGTAGGACTCTGTGTGGGGAAAGTTTCAGAGTCAGCATAACTTTCTTAGTAATTTGTCTTTAATTTGCTTTCTCATTGTCTCACAAACGGAATTCTAAGTGTGTTATTGCAGAGATGATCAAGGCTTCCCTAGAAGCACATGCCATCTTTGGCTGACAATCAGTACAACAGCAGTTCCCTCAGGCCTGCTCTGTGACTTTGGAGTGGCCAGTCCAGAGGAGAAGGTGACCTCTGGCACCCCCAGGCTTTTGAACAGCTTGTTCTGCAGCTGCAGGAGAAAGTCACAGAGTCCCAGCACATTCAGTACAGAGCCAAGGTCCAATGAGCAGCTTTTGTGGTGGTGTCTCCTCTAAATCCCTCTCCTCAGAGAGAAATTTGGTGATTTAGCAGGACTGATGGCCCAGCCCTGCTCACAGGCTCTCAGTAAGCTGATGGACCACTGACTCTGGTTACTCAGCTTTGTGGTTTTACCCTTCTATCTCCCATATTCCCCCTTAGAAATGGGACAGGGAATGAGCAGCAGCAAAAATGGGCAAAACCTGCCCAAATTCAATCTCATGCACAAGAACCTAATTCCCTTATGGTGCAACTAATCAGTATTAATATGTGCTCAGTATAGCCCACCCAATCTGCCTCCATTGCCTTCTGGCAAGACAAAAATAGGTTTACTCTGAAGAGAAGAGTGTGGATATATTTTATGTGTCATCTATCTGCTGTATCAAATTGAGGCAATCAAGAGGAGACATAGCAGAAGGCAGAAAAGGGGTTTGCAAGCAGAACCACACAAAGGTAACCACTGTGGTCTTCAATTTTTTTTCCTTTGGTTATGATTTCAAACTGACTGATTCCATGGCTTTGATATAACTTCTGTTTTTTATGTGAGTACAAGTGAGAGAGGAAAAACTGAGAGACTTTGGCGTGGAATGTGGACCCTGGACAGTAAGCAGCATGTTTTTTAAGTTGCAGAGTCCAGTGGGGAATGCCTCTGTTAGCTTGGTGTGTTCAGGAGAGCCCTGACATTTGTAAATGACATTATATAATTTATTTTCTGACATAAATGAACTGTGTTGGACCAGCAGTCAGTCAGCAATGCACAGGAGAAGTGCAACTGTGGCACGGGAATAAAAGCCAGGAACCACTTTTTTATGGGAATGCTGTTTGTAGCTGAGTGAAAGAAGGCAGGAAGGATCAGATTTCCATGAGAAGGGATCTCTGTTTTTAAAAATTTATGATAAAACTGTAGATAAAAATAATTTCTCATCTTTGCTGTTGAATTCTGGAATTCTCCAGCTGATCTTCCATTAGCCACTGTTAGGGAAGCAGGATGTTCCTGGGATCATTTTGAGGGCATCCAGATTCCTCACCATTCAGGCACTGATAACACACTAGAAATTATAACAATGCTTCAGACCACTGTGATTTTGTACAGGTTTTTGTGAGCTGCTTTCAAAATGCAATCCCAAAAGGTTCTTTCAGATTGATTATTAATTTTTTTCCTTATTCCCCCCACCCTCCATTCCACTCTGTGCAGGGAGCAGGCCCAGAAGACTTCAGCAATCTCCCACCTGAGCAAAGAAGGAAGAAGCTTCAGCAAAAGGTCGATGAACTAAACAGGGACATTCAGAAAGAGATGGATTCAAGGTGAGCCAAACCTCTCCAATGAAAAGTGAAATTGCACTGAGCAGAGCCCCTGTGTGTGATGGATGTGGGTAGATCCCAACAGGAGAGGCTGTTATGAGGTGATGGCATCATCCAAAGCCTGATCTGTAGCTCAGATTTCCTGGAAGCAGGAAGATAATGAGTCCTGTGCTTCTGTGAATGCTTTTTCTGCAAGGCTGCATTTATCATTCTGATTGAGAATAAGGCTATTTTAGCTCCACACTTTTAATTGATTCTGGCAGCCTCTATTTGTGCTTTGTGTTTGTTCACATTCTGTAGTTGCATTAAAGATTCAGCATGTTTTGTTTGTGAGACGCAGAACTTTTCTTCCCTGAAGGATTTCAAGACTAGTCTCTCCCTAAATACTGCTTTGCATTTGTACACATGTGCCTACATCTTGTGTCAGTTTGCTTTCAAGAACCTATTTATTTTGCCTACTAACCCAGAATTTCTCCTTTATATTTTCTATCATGGATAAGAAAAGAAAATTGCATGTGGTTATATGAATTCTCATTGCTTTGTTTTTTTCCTCTGTGGTAACTTAAGTTTGTCTCTGTGTAGGTTTTTCTTTCTGTTCTTTATTGGCTCTGAGGTAACCCAACACTAAAATCAGATATGGTATTGCAGCAGAGTGAAGTTTAAATAAGAGTTTATGATGGAGAAAATAGCACCAGCAGTTAAATAAGAGTTAAACAAACAGTAATAATTGTGAGTCATATGTTTGCAACATTGTCCCTTAAGGCTTCAGGCACAGAGCAGTCCCACTTCCTTGCCACCCACACTTTTTCCCAGTCTCCATACACACAGGGCAAAGACACAGGATTGCGATTGTCAAGAGTTTGGTGGGAAACTCTAAAATATAAAGAGTGTTAACTTGAACCGTGGGACTCTCATTAACCTCTCTCCCACCAGCTAATGCCCAGAGAAAATCTGAATAGTTGTGCCTAAAACCAGCCCACAATTCCATTTCCAGCTCTGAAATGTCCATCAGCAGCTGAGAGAAGCTGCCCTGGGACTCGGCTGGGGTCACATTTTGTAGCCTCGAGTCCATCTGTCCCTGTGCTGTGGCAAACACAAACCATCTGGAGCCAGCTTCCTTTTAAGCAGTGTGAAACAAATAAATATCTTTCAGATTATTTGGGTTGCTAAAGACAGGCTGCAACAGGCAGGGTGAGAATTTCTTGTTTGCCCTCCATTTCTGTTATTGATACATCTTTGTTCCACTTTCTCAACTGAAGGTCAGCCTATGATGGATGATAATGATTTAACTGTTTGTCTATCCCCTGAAAACTGGGAAGATATTAGTCTGGAAAGTTGGAGCTGTCATAGATTGCAATGGTGGTGAGATGTATTATTATTATTTTCCCCAGGGCAGCAAGTATGTACTGTTGTACTACATAAAAAACCATGTCAGGCTAAAAATCAATATCAAATATCTTCTCACGTTGTAGGTAACTCACTGTTTTTTATCTCTGACAGTGTAAATTCTCTTCTGGCAAATAATTTTACTGCTCTTTTTTAATGGCTGGTTCTATACAGGGCAAAAGCCCCATCTAGGTGTTCTCAGTTCCCTTTCTAACAGATAGGTTGAACCTTAGGGTGAAGAAGAGACAGTTTATTAAAGGTATTTACCCCAGGTGTGCTAAACGTGTTTTATTTTTATTTTGCCCCTCAGAGATGCCTTAACAAAGATGAAAGATGTGTACATCAAGAACCCCCAGATGGGCGACGCAGCGAGCGTAGACCACAGATTGGCAGAGCTTGGGCAGAACATTGAAAAGCTGCGATTAGAAGTTCAGAAATTTGAGGTATGAGAAGAGACATTTCAGTAAAAAGCAGCTCAGCAAATGCTCAGGTCTGAGCAGGGCCTTCCTGGCTTTTCCAGATGTATTGATGCACTTTGGTGAGGGAAGGGCTACGTGAGCACTTGCATTAATTGGGGTCTTTGGTTTGTGTAACACAAACTTGCACCATCTCCTGTGGCAGTCAGCCCACAGTTAAATTTGCCACAGAAAACAAATTACGCTAAGTGGAGGTGAAGAGAAAATGTGATGCTCTCTGGACTGCCCAGGGGGCTTCAGATGCTTATTTAATTAATTAAATACATTGAAGCATCATGTTACAGATGTCTGTGGAAAATCAGAGTGACATAAAAGCAAAGCACCATTTAGAGACTAAAGCAAGACAGAAACCATGAGATGAAATATGTTTTAAGGAATAGTCTGCCATGAACAGGAAGCTGCTTAGTGATATAAAATCTCCAGAGCAGAGGGGGAGTGTTTGGAATATATGAAGCCCATTATAATTACATGAGAAGGATTAGACAGCTGAGAAAAGACTTCACTTACTACGTTATGCTTTGAACATAAACAGATACAGCCCATTAATTTCAGATGTGGTTTTACTATCCATTGCTTTCCTACCTGTTTGAAATCAGTGGCTCTTTCATTCCCCCCAGCTTTTGTTCTTGTGCATTCAGCAGTTGCTGAGTTTCTGGTGTTAGACTACTCTAAGCAGCCACACATCTTTTTACTTGATAGTGACTAGAGCAGCATCATCTCCTGCTGGCTGTTAACTGCTTCTGTCAGGGTGTTTCGGGGACCCAGTGCCAAAAAACAGTTACACTTTCAATTAGTGTGTTTTTCAGCTAGACAATCCAGAATTTGAACAACTGACCACTGCCACTCAAAGGAAAATGTGAACCTGCTTACAAACCAGCTGTGTTCTGTAGCCTGGGTGTCAGGAGTGTCCCAGCAGGGTGATCACTGTCTGTCTGTCTGTCTGGCAGGGCTGGCTGGCAGAGGTGGAGGGGCGGCTGCCGGCACGGACGGAGCAGCCCCGGCGCCAGAGCGGGGTCTACGAGGCACAGAACCCATCAGGAGTGAACAGCTGTGCCCAGGACAGGGAGAGGTACAGTATCTGTACAGGCTGGGGCTCACAGGCAGCCTCACCTGCCTCAGCCTGCCTCAAAGAGCTGCTGTCTGACTGTGATGAGCTGTGTGACAGCCCCCTCGCTCGCTACTGTGAAACAGCGCCTTTTTACAGCTTTTAATGGTAAAGGGAGGGTTCTCACTTATCTGTAGTCACAGCCAGCTCCAAGCAAGCTCTGGAATCACTGAGCTGCTCCAGCTGGAGTTGTTTTCCCTTGTCCCAAGCCTGGTGACCGAGTGGTTCTCCCTGCTGCTGAGGTTGGTTGCTATAGTTGCTGTGTTTTTCCTCTCTTGAGCAGCCCCGATGGCAGTTACACAGAAGAGCAAAGCCAGGAGACTGAGATGAAAGTACCTGCAACAGACTTTGACGATGAGTTTGATGATGAAGAACCACTACCCACCATAGGAACATGTAAAGCGCTCTATACATTTGAAGGTATCACTCAAACTTTATTCTCCTTTCAGGCTGGGATATTTAAGTTCATATGCCAAGGGCAAGTGGGAAACCTCCATTAAACCCTAAAAAGCCAAAGGGCAAGTGAGGCTCTGGTGTGATTCTGTAGAAAGGCACCAAGACAGGGATTTTTCTCCTGTTGCACAGGAGCTCTACAAGAGAAAGAACCAAAACTCTGCTGTCAGGGTCACATTTCTGGTTCTTTATGTACTTTATGTACACTGCTGCCTCCTGAATCACAAACTCCTGTTCTGGCTGCCAATGATGCACCCATGTCCATCCGTGGTTTGAGTTACTGACTCCTGCTGTGCAGCACAGCCTGAAGTGCCTGTTGCTGTGTGTTTCAGGTCAGAATGAAGGAACAATCTCTGTAGCAGAAGGAGAGATGCTCTATGTAATAGAAGAAGACAAAGGGGACGGGTGGACGCGGATCCGAAGGAACGAAGATGAGGAGGGCTATGTCCCCACATCCTATGTTGAAGTCTATTTGGACAAAAATGCCAAAGGTGCTATGACCTATATTTAATGCTATTATTATTGTTTTATTTGCTTTCACAGAGATAATCCAAGCCTGAAGCTGCTCTGTGTTGCAGATAGAGCCTTTTAAGAGTCTGTACAATGCCACCAAGTGCATTATTCCGTGTGTGGACTAATTATGGCTTGTTGTACTGCAAAACGTGCTTTTCTTGCTCAGAGAAGGGTAGTGTGGGGGACTCCTGAAAGCAGAGGGGAAATGCAGCCTTTCCTGGACAGTGTTTGCTCAACTGTCGTTGCCATTGCACGCCCAGCTTAGTGCAGGAAGCACAAAACCCTTTGGGATCGTTCAGGCTCTCCTCAGATGCCCAGGTGGCATCTCAGACACATCCACAAAGTGAATTGTTTGTCCCAAAGTCACTCGGTGGAACTTTATGGAGGGAATATTTAGACTGCTGGTTTGTGTCTGTGTGGGAGTTTTTCAGAGCCTCTTGTGTTCTGGGGACCTTTTGGATGGAAAACTGGTGGTAATTTAGTTCAGTGTGTGTGGAAGGGGAAGGGGAGATCTTACCAAAACCCCTCTACACAGCACTCTGTGGTCCTTGATAAATGGGAAAAACATTGAGAAAGCTCCTCTGTTCTTTCACACCTTGCTACATTTCAGATGTATTTGCTGTTGCAGATGACCAGAACTAATGGTTTAATTTTTGCTTACATTAGATCAATGGAGACATTCAGAGTTTGGACTCTGTAAGCTGCTGTTTGTTGCTTTTAATTCCTCCCAAATGTTTTGTGTAAGGAAGCAGTGCTGCAGGGCAGACCTGGCTGCAGTAAATGCCAGTGCTGAACACCTGGTAATGGGATACACTGAGAAATCAAAAGGTTTCAAGTCAGGACAGTGTCAGAACTCCACTGTGTTAAACATTTTGTGTTTATTCAGTCACTTAATCCTTCAGATTATTGTTTTTCCTAGACTTGAGAGTTTTTGGTGTGAAACAAATGGCCTCATCCCAGTCAAATGCAAACTAAACCATTTTATTTGGAGATTATGACCAGGACTGTACCCATAAATCAGCACTGAAACTTGAGCAGTTCAGTGTTGGGTGTTAATCAGTGCAGTCCCTTGTCTGCTGCAGGTGAAAATCTGGGCCTTGTTTTATTTTGCCATAATACAGTAGTTTTATGTTCCTGTTGGCAAATACACGGTCAGTTGAGATGCAGAAGAGTGCAAAAAGTTTAGCCCCCTCTGTTGGTTTTTATTAACCTTTGAAAGAGGAACATGGATCATCCCTTCCCCTTTATACCCAGAACAAGGCTGAAGGATTGGAAATCGTGGAATCACAGACTGGTTTGGGTTGGAAGGGACCCTCTCATTCCAACCCTCTCCCATGGCAGGGACACCTTCCATCAGAGTAAAAGTGCAAACTGTGCCAGGGGCGAAGGCTGATACAGCTGCAGCCATGCCTGTAGCCACAATGGAGGTTTTCTAGATAATTTCAAGTTTTTCCATTGATTTTGCTGGATTTCAGGAACAAAATCAAATGGATCTGTGAATATCTGATGTATAGGAACAATAATGTTTACCTCTTTTATTTTTCAAGTCTCTGGTTTAAAAGAGAATGCTTTATAGAATGCAGCGTAAAGATTTGCAGGAAATGCTGCTGTGTTTAAAAGGTGAATTTTGTTGCAAGCTGCAAATTGATTTTTAAGGTATTGGTAGAAGTGAGTTGATTCAATCCTTGAAATAGAAGTGATGACATTCCTGATGATAACATTGTAAATACTGAAGCATTTGCAAACTTTAGTAATCCTTTCCTCTTTTTGGAAAGAAGATTGAGCAGCTGGCACCAGGAAAGGCTGGTGGCAGAAGGGTGGGAGCTCACAGCAGCCCCTGTGGCTGTCCCAGCCAGCAGGGCCAGTCCTGGCTCAGCCTCTCCTGCCTGGCCAGGCTGTGTGTGTGCCACGAGCCAGGGGCTGCTCAGTGCCACTGCTCAGTGCTCTGTGAGAAGCTGCTTTTTCACTCAGCTGGAGTCTGTGTGGTCAGGGCTGTGCTGCAGAGCTGAGCTGAGCAGGACAGGTAAGTTGTGTGCTGCTGCTGCCCCCCTGATCGTAGTCTTAGAGGAGCCAAGCTGGGTCTGTGCCCTGCCAGGCCCCGTGTGACAGCTCCTGATGACATTTACAGGGCTGCCTCTGCTCAGAGGGTGTTGGCAAACCCTGTCACCAAAAGAACAGTAATGCCTATCTTGTTTTGCCTTTTTTTTTTTTTTTCCAGATGTGCACAAACCACTTCAGAAAATCTCTGAATAGGTTTGCATAGGCCTGTCCACCCTTTATCCTCCTGGTTTGCTGCTACGGTTGTTTTAAGAGCTCTATTTGAGAAGGTTTTCTTTAGAAGAGATGAATGCACATGTCATATCTCCATCACTGAAAGACTTTGTTAGGTACCAGGTCAGCTCTGAAATGTCACTGCTGACGGAGGTGCTGCCCTGACTGTGTCCATTTAGTGCAAACAGCACTGCTGTCCTTCTGAATAGAAAGGAGAGCTGCAGGCTCTGCTCCCGTTGGGATTCCTGCAGGAAGCTGTGCTGTGCACACCTGGGGGTAGCATCTTGCAGGGCTTTTCTGGTGTCTGGTGCTGAGAACTCTCAAACACAGGAACTGGTTGGGCCTTTCAGCTCGAGACCGACCACCCTGTGTCACTGACTGTGTACCTCATCATCTGCTCGGGAACAAAACTGTCTTTCACTGAGGGATGTTGTGAAATCGTGTGACACAAAAAGTCCTGCATGGAGTAACCAGCTCTGTGCAAACCCTGCATTGCACCCAACAGAAACACCACATCCCCTTCCAGCATGCAAACAGCCTGGATGTTTGTTTGGGTGACATGCAGGAATGGAGGCTGGCTTGGGAGGTTGAACTCCTTGATAAAATCTATTCTGGAGCTGTGGGCTGATGAGCATTTTGGCTCCTGTTACCCCTCACCTCTGATGAGATCAGTAATTCCTTAGGGACAGCTCTGGCATTCCCAGTGCTGCAGCTCTGCTGTTTGCTGTAACCATCATGCAGAGCCTAGACTTATATAAAATAAATAGGTAAAAGTTAACCATGCTGATGCACTTTTTATCTAGGATATATCTGATTATTTAATGCTTGCCAAATTATTTAGGAATTGGTAATTATAAACTGGACTGTGGCTTTTTAAAATCCTTTTGTTAAATACGTGCCCTTAGTTCTCCCAGTATAAAAAAAAATTGTAAATAACATAACTTAAAGACTAAAGTTACTTGAATTTGAATTGTTTTTATCCTTTTATATGTGTATAAATATAAATGGTTTTATAGGCTGTTCTTCTGCTTAACCCAGCTGTTTTGGTAACTACTCAGTCCCTCTGATGTTGATAAGTGTTTTTGGTTACTCAGCTGCCTGCACCTGGACTTGCATAGGAACTGCTGTTGTGTGTTAAGGTTTGTTCAATCTGGCCAGTGTGGTTGTCTTGTTTCTATTCTTATTTTTTAAAGAATCATCATCTGTCAGGAATCTCTTTATAGCTTGATGTACCATGGTGTCTTCTTCTAATAAACATTATATTTTCTCATTCCTGTGAGGTTTTGGTTTTTGAGTTTTTTTAATGACAGTAACTACTAGATGGTAATAATTAGTGGCAAAAAATAGTGGCATTTAACTTTCCTAAGGGACAGCAAATGGCCCAGAGCTGCTTCTCACTCTAAGCACAAATGCAATTCTTCTCAAGAAAAATATTTTATTGTGGCTCTTTGGAAACTTCTTTGAGCTGTCATTTGGAAGGATTTGATGGAAGTGGGTGCAAAGGGGGTGAGAAGGTTCCCCTGGTTTCTCAAATGCAAGGGAAGTTTGTACTCCTGTATTCCCTTGGATACAGCAGTTTGGGCCAAATCACGTCCTGGATTGTAGCTTCGCTTGGCCAAAGGCAAAACTTGTCCTCAGCCCCCAGCCTGTGGGAACAGGGCTGGCCAGAGGAGGGCTTTGGAGGCTTGGGCTGGTTCACTGCATATTCCTGGCTTCCCTTGAGAAGGAAAGGCTTCTGCAGCCTGTGGTGGAAAGGAAAGCTTTGGATCCCTCTGCAAATTCTTTGATTTAATTTCCTGTTGTTGTTCAGTGTCATTGATGGTCTCTGGAGCTGTCACTTGAACAGATGCAGTGCAGACAGAAAATAAAAAGCTGTTTGTTTTCTCAGTGGCAAGAAGCGGGCGCTGGCAGGGTCCTGCCCCTGTGCTTTACTCCCAGAGCACAGCAGAATCCCAGTGATGCTCATCCCAGGCTGGAGGGAAGGGCTGAGGGTGAAGGGTTTCTGTCCAAGTCAGGAGCCTTCCTGAGCCCTGGTAGAAGTAGATGCTTCATTGCTTTATTTCCTTTAACCTCCTGCAGGCAGAGCTGCTCTTAAGGGACCCCATTTCCCCCAGCCTCTTTCTAATCCATCTCTTTCTTTTTGTCTTTCTTATGTTTTAGATTCCTAAAGGTGTTTGTGCTGGTGCAAGAACCTCGGGGCGAGCTTGTCACAGAAGGAGAAACAAAATGGTCTGTTTACCCTGCAGGCAGTTAAAACACACCCATGGAAAGCCAGACTCCCACTCTTGTCTGGACTTCCCACTTGAAAAATTGAGACCTAAATTCCATCCCAGTACCATTCAGACGCTTGCTCTTTTCCATGGCATGCTACTTGTGGCTCGGATTTCCTTATCAGCCTCTCCCACTCTTCTGCCAGCCTGGCACAGCCCCTCTGTCAAACATAACACACACTTCTCCCAACCCAATCCCTCCCAACTTCTGTCAGAGAACTGCTGGCTGCCCTTGGACAGCCAGAGAGTCCCAGGCATGTTCTGGTCTGTCTTCTGTCCCCTTGTCCCTCAGTCCATCTGGATGTACACACTGGTCCATCAGCATTTCACACGGTGCCTTTAGTGCTAAACCTGCAGGTCCTCTCCCCAGAGAGCGTGGAAAGGAGGTGAAAACCTCCCCTGGAACAGTGCTACAGCAGCTGGACTGAGCTCTCAATCTGTCAATATAAAATCTGATCCACATGCATCATTCAACATTCTGCCTTCCCCAAAAGGTCACTAATACTTGTCAGCCTTTATTTCTCTTTTTTCAAATCCAGGCTGACGCTCATTCCAGGTATTAAACCCCTCTGACCCTGCTGTTTCCTGAAACCCTTCAAGCTCACGTATGTACTTGTTTTCCTGCTTGTTCTGTCTGCCCTCCTGTGTCCCTGCTGTTCCTCACACGCACACAGACACACACACAGACACAGACAGTGGCATTTTGGTTGGCAGCCCTTGCTGCTGCTCACAGGCCCCGTTTGGCTCTCGTTTCAGCCTGCATGCTCGCCCTGTTGCCTTGCCTGCGCCCACCTTCCTCAGGGTCACGTTATTTTGTGGCTCGTGGTTTAATCTCTCTGCAGTTTTCTTTTGGTTGGTTTGTTTTTCAGCATTTCAGACCTGCCTTCTCTTTTTGCATGACCTCCTGTGCGTTCTCATCAGTTCATGTTGGAATAACAGAGTTTTTTTAGATAAATAAAAGAGGAAAGGAAAAAAAAAAAAAAGAAACTGCACTGTTTCCTTCTCCCATCTTGTCGTGGACTGGACCTGGACCCAGCAGCCAAACAGGAATCGTGACCACCCTGTTTTCACATAGTTTGGTTTGAAGCAGAAGTAGGATAAGTGATTCTGCACTTTATCATGTCATACAGTGGTAAGAGAGCTACAATATCTCCAAAAATCACATGATCTGGACTTCAACTGCCCAACAAAGGGTTAATTTCTTCTCTAAACTTCTACCAACTTCCATATTCTAACTTGGTTTCCCCTGAATTGTTACCATTGCTTGGTTTTGCAGTCATGGACATGTTTGAGCCCTGCAAGAATCAGTTGCCACTAAATAGCTCCTGAGGGCCAAATTTATTCATGGATCCACACCTTGTTTGGGGGAATCCACTGGCTCTAGTCCAACTCCAGCATATTCTGTACAATCCCCACAAGTTGAGAAATGCTACATGGAAGCCACTATGGGCAGTGACCCCAAAATGAAACCTCTCAGGGTTTGTTTGCAGGCAGGTGAGTGTTGTTCTGCTGCCTGCTGGGCTGTCCAGCAGGGTCAGCACATCAAAACACATCCCAGAACTTCAGACTCTCTGTGCTGGGGATGGCCTGGGCTGTCCACACAGGGGATGAAGTGATTTTTGAGCTGGGTTATGTGTGGTGTTCATAATTCTGTCCCTTTCTCTCCATTTAAGATGCCAACTCTTGTTTTTACAAAGTCCTCTGGTGCTACAGTTCATTCTGTAGCTGTTGTGTGATGGTGCTTAGGAGCTGCCAGCATGAACCAGCAGAAGGTTTGTGATTTAAACCCAACCCAAATGTGCTGGGCACAGGCAGCTCCAATGCTGGGGCTGCTCTGTGCAGCACTGGAGGGTCAGAATCCAAAAATCACTGCTGCTGCTGTGGTCACTGAGCTGTCCACATCAAGAGCAGAATGGGATCCCCACCTTTGGCACCTGTGGCTTTGTGGTCTCCACCTGCCAGGGGATCTAAAGGGTTGAACAATTAACAGGTGTGCAAAGATATCCTTAAAATATTTTTAGCTGCAGTATTTTTATTCTTGTGTCCAATGCACTGTTGAATCAGCAGCTAAGAATTCATTTTCACCTATTGTTGTGCCATCTATGTAAAAATCAGATCAAAGTTTGCTTTTCTATATTTAATCTGGGTGGACAGTATATTATTGTCAGCCTCTGTGGAACAATTGCAATGTCTGTGTTTCGAATTTGTGCTGTAGAAGGAGCATTAGCTTTAGCTGACTGATTGATTCCTGAAGTTTTATTAAAAGACCATGTATGGAGTTTTTATAAACTTGGCAAGTAGTTCCCAAAAGCCTGGATCTTAAAACTTATTTAAGAAATAGTCACAGTCATATCTCATAGTCTGCACACGTTTATTCTGCTGCCATTATTCAGGGTAATGAATAATTTTTGTAGAATTTACCTTTGGCAAATGCTGAAGAACGAAATATGTGACTGGTTTATAAAAACTCTGCTTGGATTTACTAATCTTGCCCAGCAGCGTGGACTGTACATCCTATGAAATTTCATGATCCCCAGCAAAAGTCTCTAATGCCCTTTCTTAACACCTGTAAATAGAGAAGAAACATATTTACTGATATTCAAATTTGTGTTTAATGCTGAGTATTTTTCAGAAGCTCATTTAGTTTGATGCATATTGTTCTTTGGTTTTTTGTTTTCCTGCCTGAAATGTCAGAAGACCTAAAAGAAGCCAAATTCTATTTTAACATGATGATGTCGAGCACTTTTTTATTTGTATATGTGTGTGTATGTGTGTTTGAGCACTGATCTCGAGATCTCGGTGGCATCTCAGTGTTGTGATTTCATTGCCAATGTAAAAGGTTCTGGTGTTGCCCATTCATTTCTGGAGACAGAATTCAATCAAATAAAGTGCTTCCATTTGAAAGCGAATATTGACCTTGTAGCAATGAAACAAAGTCATCTGCATATTTAAATAAACATTTAATTCCAGAAATACAGTTTCACTGGACCTTTTTAATCAGCCAGACAGAAAGAAAAATGGATTAATTGCTTTTTTTCCCCAACAGAAAAGTTGATGCCTCTTTGCTGGGGCTCTTGAGGTGCAGCCAGCGCTCTCCAGGAGCTGCTGCTTCCCACAGATGTGTCCAGTGGAGAGTGGGAATCTGAATTTGCTTGTGGCTGCTGCTTCAGCCACAGAGAAATTCAGATTATAAATCCCCAGAGCTGCTCTCTTACTCCTCATTATTCTTCCTGACTGTGGGGTGGATTTGGGTTTTGCTTCCAGCTGTGAAATGTACACAGAACAAGTGGATCAACACATTCCGGTGTGGTGCTGTTCCTAGATCTCTCTTCAGAAAAGTGAGGACACATTTTCACTTGTGGTACCTGCTGGCTTTGGTTTTGTTTTTTATTTTATATTATTTCCAACTGGAATTTTCAGGAGTAATAACTTGGCTCTGTCTGTACCTCACTGTCCCACAGAGCTGGGTCCCATCAGGTCACTTGGAGATTTGATTTTATCAAACTTTGACCTTTCCAGCTGGCATTGAAGAGAGAATGAAGTTGTTGGGTTGTTTATTTGTTGGGGTTTTTTTAACTTAGTCATGTGAGGAGAAAGAAAAATGGGCTGTTGTGGCTGGAGCTGGTGTTGGCAAGGGCAGGTGGTTTGTGCTTTTTCAGCAGGAGCCTAAGAGAACTGGAAACCTGAGGGAAAGGTTTCATCTAAAGAGAGAGTTGTACTGTGGAATGCCTGTGGTGAGTGCTCTGGTTTATCTGGAAGTCTTGGCAGATGTTTTTGATGCTGATTGGTTTTATATTAAAATTCAGGCTGTTGCAAGGCTGGTAAGGAATGGTTTGGGCAGGGATGTGTGGATGTGCACGTGTGTCCAACACAGCAATGCCTCCCTTCACCAGATAATCCAAAACCCAGGCACATGTCTGGAACTCTGGCTGAGATGCACAATTCCATTCTGGTGTGCAGGGTTGTGAATGATGTGTGTGTGTCTCTAGCTGAGAAAAGCCCCCAGCTCTTGGCCAGCTTCTCCATCACCCCCTGGTCCAGGTCACTGCAAAGAGCCCATCCAAGAGCCAGGAAGATTTGCAGTTTTCCCACTCAGTAGGTGACACCTGGTGGTCCTTTCATCTGCCAAATAATCTAGAGATTATTTTTGTTTAATACAGTCAAGCTGCTACATTTCTTCAGCAGGATTTCAGTTGTTCTTTGCCAGCACTAATTAACATCCCTGTCAGCTCAGGACAGATCAGAGCTGTTTGTGACAGGCTGCTGGGCTTTAATTTTGGGCAATAATGAATAGGAGGGGGTGTTCCTCTGGCTCTGACTTGGATTTATCTTTCACAGAATCAGCACTGCTGACTTAAAATAGAAAAGGCACAACCAAAGGGGTGAGGGAGAGCTGGGGGTGTAGAGCTGAGCAAAAAGGGAGAAGAAAATGGAATAAGGTTTTTGTAGGGAGTGTTTGGCCACAGCTACAATAGAGCAATGGCTCTGCTCCAGGAACAGGAGCAGCACACAGGAACTGAACTGAGGGAGCAGATAATCTAACAGAGGTTTGCTCCAACTGCATGAACAGTTCTTTCTGCTCCTCTTTTTTGCAATTGGCAAAGGGACCTGATAAAAAAAGGGAGAAATTGTTTGCAAAGAGAACTGATGAGAGATCAGCACTGGCACTGGCTCCCAGAGCTGTGTCTGAGGCATTCTCAGAAATGCCACGGCTGCCTCAGTGGAGCTGGAGGAGAGCAAGGCTGCAGTTGGATCTCAGGTGAAATCAGGAGGCAGAACTAACCCTTGAGGGCTTGACCAGGCAGAGGAAACCCAGAGCAGAGTCAGGGCTTTGCCAGAGCAGCCCTGGAGCTGTTTGTGTGGACCCTGAGCAGTCCCTGAGGGCAGTTCTTGGTGGCTCTGGGAAGGGTTGGAGCTGTTCAGTTGTTTAGAAGATCCAAGTTTGGACAGCTGACTCCAAGCTGCTCAAGAACAAACTGCTTGTTCTCATTACCCAGCTCCAGCTCTGCTCCTTCAAACATTTCAGGCTCCAGCTGAGGCTGCATCAGTCACTTGGGCAGGGAATTCCTGCTGCTCCAGCCCCTCAGGCTGCTTTAAAAACTGTTCATTCCCAGTCCCAGAGCCTGGTGTTCCCTGGGGAACAGGCTGGCTGTGTTACCAAGGGAGGGGAATGGCCAGCAGGGACATTTGGCCACACAACAGTGACAGGAAACCCGTGTAGAATCCTGGAACAGCTCAATGAAACTTCGACTCCTTCCCCACAAGTTACTTCCAGGATAACAATATTGTCAGTGAGTAGCACATCCAGCCCCCCCAGGCTCTCTGAGGCACCCTCGGGTGCAATGGGGTTGATGCAAGGTGAAGGGAGGTCTGAAGGGGCAGGTGCCCTCCGAATGGGCACAGGATGGTTTAGTGGCCTCAGCCTCCTCTTGCTGCTGTCCCCACACAGCCTCTGGTCAGCAGGAAGTTTGGATTTGATTTTATATTTAATTTTTTTTTCTTCCTTCCCCACCCTGCTCCCTGGAGCTGTCAGCCCCTCTCAGCAGGCAAGGCAGGCCTTGTTGAATGCACATGTATTTATTGTACCACTTTCAGCACAAGGTCTAACACTGAAGCACAGGAGTGTCACTACAGTCTGTACAGCACCCTCTGGAACACAGACAACACAGACATGCAGCCCTGCAGCTCTGCAGCAGATCCCAGGGCTGCTGCACTGGGGAATAAAGACAGCTTGGAACAATGAGGATCTCAACAGTGGCTCATTCGCTGACCTCCCCTTGGGGCTAAACAAGCATCCCATGAACAAAATTGTAAAATTAACATGCTGAATCAATTATAGACAACTTGTAAAGAAGTTGCTTTATGCAACAAATACTTGATCTGAAGAAAAAAAAAATTTAAAAAAACCCATGAAGGCCACATTTTTATTCCCAAATTCTCCTGTCCTACCCCTTTATATCTCTAACTCAAGGAGAAGCCTTTCTTTCCCTCCCATGTTTCCTGAGGAGCTCAGGAGGTCCCAGCTCCATGCAGTGTCTGGCACCACTCAGACTTGGTGCTGTGGCATCACCCACACCATGAACAGAGTTTGGCTCCTCAGGCCCTGGAGGCAGCTCTGCCTCCATTAAACTAATTAAGGATTAAGCTCTTGCCTTGCTGCAAGATGAACAAAAAGCATGTTAAGAATAGCCCTGCTGAGAAAAGTGGAGTTTAGCCTTTTTTGCCCTCATTCCTGTCTCTGCTGCATTGGTGGCAGCAGATCTGGGAGCAATCTGATTAAATGAGCCACTGTACACACAAAGGACATCTGGAATGACCTCAGCACACAGGTGGGGGCTTGTTTGCAGAAAGAGCTTGTTCCTAAAAAGCTGCTTCACCAGCCTGGGCCCTGCTCAGCCAGGTCCCCTGCCCAGCCCTGGGTGACCCCTGTGCAGGGGCTCTGTGTGAACAAAGGGGTCCCTCCTCAGCCCCTCACCGGCTGAGGGCACACAGACACAGACACAGGCTCAGGCAGGGCCAGTCTGAGCAAGGCTCTGGGCAGGAGGAGCCTTCCAGCTTCGTTGTCCAAAACCGTGCTGAATGTAGGAGATCAGACACGAGGAGAAAATAAAATTCTGCAGGACCATGAAGGTGTGGGTTTGAGAATGAAAGGAGAAGGGAATAGCTTCTTTCCAAATTTCTTAGTTGACTGCAACCGAATTTGCACGAATTCGATAAAGAGCAAAACTAGGAAGTTGTGACAGCACCACCAGCACAAAACCTGGAGACCTCGTGGCTTTACTCAAACTCAAAACCAGGTTTCTCTGGTTGCAGCACTGCCTGCTGGAAACATAAATAATGTCTCATTATCTTTACATGTTTGAATTAAAAAGAGAAGTGCCAAAAGCAAAACCTGCAATGGAGCAGAGCTCAGTGCACTGGGAACAAGCTGGGAGTGCTGGTTTGGTGTGGCAAAGGGAAGGGAGAGGGCTCAGGTCAGGACAACCCTGTGCCTGTGGCTGCAGCCTCAGACCACGGCGTCAGCCCGAGGTGAGGTGCAGAGCCTTGTGCCAGTCTCTCCCAGCACCACCCCGGTGCTCAGAGCCACATGAAAGGAGGAGGAGGAGGAGGAGGAGGAGGAGGAGGAGGAGGAGGAGGAGGAGGAGGAAGCCTGCCTGCCCCGGGAGTGCTGGGGGAGCTGCACACACCTTGTCCCAGACAAGGGAGGGTTTCCACCCCTCAGGATTCCCAGCCTCCCGTCCCCCACAGAGGTACCTGTGCCGTCCCTGCCCTGCCCCATCTGCACAGATCACACTGCACGTGTCTCTGCTTCAATCTTCTGCTCCCCGTGGAGGTTCTCCAGTTCCTGCACCTGGGCCACGTTCTGTCTGATGGCAATCTCGGGGCCCCCTCCATACAGGGTGCTTAAATAAACCCAGGTCTCCTCGGAGATCTGCCCGTAGTCAGCACCTGGAAGGGAAACAGCCAAAACAGCCGTCACTGGATGCACCAGCAGGGACAGGTCAGGGCACAACGCCAGGACTGCCTCCCAAAGGCCCATCCCAGGAGGAGGAGACACCCGTGGTCCCTGCACAAAGCCCCTGCAGTGCCACCTCCTGCTGGAAGCACCAGTGTGTTCTCCATTAATCCATGTCCACAAACACCACAGCTACACTTCTTTTAAATCCCTCCAGGGGTGGTGACTCCACCACTGCCCTGAGCAGACTCTTCCAAACCCTGACAGCCCTTCCCATATAGAAATTTTTCCTAATATCCAATCTAAACCTTGCCAGGCACAACCTGAGGCTGTTTTAACTTTGGGAGCTGGACCACAACAGATGCTGAGCGAAGACCACATCAAAAGCAACACAAGATCAAAGCTCCAGCACAAAGGGGAGTGGTGCAAGGGGCCTGGGGAGCAGCAAGGCAGGAGCTGGGGGTCTGCAGGACCAGTCACAGCAGCAACCTGGTCATGCAGAAACTGCCACTGGAGAACTGCCTCACTCAGGGCAGCGGCTGGGTAGAGAACTGTCATCCTCTGCAACACCATCTTGCTCTGTGACTTCATTATGCACAACCAGATCCAGTGGAACAGTCTCCTTTACCTTTAAGGAGCACCACAGGCAGTAAGCACCAGCCTTACCCTGCTTGACTTGCACGTGGCCACCTGGTTTCGTGAGGGCAATCTTGGTGTTGTCAATTGGTCCAGGGGGCTCTGTAGGAGAACAAACATGTCAAGAACCATCTGATTTCCTTGCTGCCTCCAGCTTCAGATGCTTTCCTAACTCCTCTTGGTCATTTTTGTTCTACCCTGGGGACCTGCAGGCAGCCCCAGTAGCTGGTGCCTGAACCCTGCCCAGCCTTGTCACCCCAGCCAGGGGCAGTGCTCAGCCAAGACCCAACAAATGGACTCGTTTCCATTCCCCCTGTCCCCCCTGACAGACCCCATGTCTGATCCTTACCATTATCCTTGCCCTTGACAAAGGCCTCCCACTCCCGGAACCACTGCATGCTGATACAGTAGATGACACTTGGAGACTCCTCTGCCTGGAAAGCCTTGTTCAGCTGGGAGAGCAGAAACAGAGAAATAGGAAGGACTTAGTCCCCCCTGAGATCTTGTGGGGGCCCTTCTATTATTAACTGTAAGGCAGCCTTGCCATCCTCCAGAAGAGCCCCATGGAATTCTTTCCTCACACCCTGCTCCTGCTCACCAGAGCAGGCACAAGACAAGGACGGTTTCACACTTTCTGTCTGCACAGCATTGCCATGCCCCAGCTGCCCCTCTGCACTGGGGAACCCCCAGGCCAGTCTCCTGGCTGTGCTGTAGATCATTATTCTGGAAAGCAGGCAGGAGATTTCCAGGTCTGCATTTCCCACCCCTGCCCTTTGCCTTGCTCCCGGATGCTTCCCTGCCAACCTTGATGAAGGTGTCGATTTCGATCCTCCTGCGCTTGGCCAGGGCTTCGATCTCCACTTGGCAAATGGAGCACACGTACAGATGGTTCACAGCAGGGCCACCCCCAAACCTGGGCACAGGAGAGGGAGGCCAATGGAGAACTGCAGCACAGTGGAAACTCTTCCCAGCCCTGCATCCTACAGAGATTTTTATACTACTCCAGACACTGGTGAGGGAGGTGCATCTGCAGCTGAGGGCACAGAGCTGCCTTTACTCAGCCACACTTTTGCTCTTCTGGCTTACCTCTTGCTATCCTTTTGGGACAGGCACTGATACAGCTCATCCTGGCTTAGATCAGGACACTCTACAAATACTGGAAGAAAGAATGGAATGGCCATATTCACCTGTTGTAGAGATATTCCCACACGTTTTGGGGCAGAATCACAACCAGGTCATCAATGTAATGGTACTTATTAGGAGGAATCCCTGTGGAGGAAAGGCAAGTGGAAGAGTTAATCAGGGATCTCATTATTGCTGTGTAAACAGACACAGATAAAAAGGCAGATTTTCCTTTCTGAGAACTCTGATTCCAGAATCTGTGTCCTTTGCCAATGGAAGACAGTCAGAAGTTCATTAACTGTGAGGGTTTCTCAATCCACAGCCCTAATTTCTAATCAAGTGCTTCATTTCCAATTTAGAAGAGAGATTTACAAACACTGAGTGCTCCTCAGCATGGCTGATGAAACAGCAGCAGAGTCAGATGTGCTATCAGCTCCCTTCTCCAAACAAACCCCGAGGGCCAGCCCACCTGACAGGGTAACACAGATAAACCCTGCCCTATCTGCTTTCTACAGGTTTGTTTTTAAACACTGAGAACTGAGAACTGTTGTTTCCCAGCACTAAACATCCCCCCAGGCCTGCAACCAGCAGCACAATGGGTAATTGTCTCATCCCTCCCTGAGCAGGCTCGAGTTTCTGCCAAAGAGGATCCCAAAGCAGCTTCCCAGTATCAGGATGGCAGCTGGAGCTTTTTCCTGCATTTATTAATACACCAGGAAGCATCAAAGGTGCTGCTCCCAGGTCCAGCAGCCTTACCTCCATGGGAGCACAGAAAGGTGTGGTTGGTGATGGGCCCAGGCTCAGCAAAGGTGTTGAATTTATTGAGCCACTCTCGAGAGATGTAGAACTGGAGCAAACTGTGCTCCTTCATGCTGGCCAGGGACACGACCTTCTGACGCTCTCGAACAGCCTCCTCACTGCTTTTCCTGGAGCAGGGAAAAGAGAACTCCATTTGTGAAATGCATTTCCAGGTGTTCTGTAGGCAGGAAGGGGCTGGGGGCACAGCTCACCTGTAGAACAGCACATAGGCTTCTGCATTCTGCACCACAGTCTCGTGAACCTCGGTGACGTACTGGTCATCGAACTCGTACCACTGGCCATTGATCACGTTCTGGCAGTAGGCAATGTAGTGGCCACCTGGAACAGAACACACAGCACTGCTGGGATCTGCAGTGCAGACAGAAGGCAGGCCTGGGATAATGTCAGCAGCACAAACAGGATTAGCTGCTGGCACAGAACAGAGAGAGAGACGAAAAAAAGGATAATTCCTGTTCAGGCAAGCTTTGCTGGAGCAGCAGAGCCTGGCACTGTCACCCTGATTTGCCTTCCTTGGAAAAGCCTCTCAGCAAGACTGAGCAGTGGGAAAGGGTTTGAGCCAAGCCTGTGGGGAGGCTGAAAGAGCTGCAGGGGATCTGCCAGAAGCTGCTCAGTTCATTTTCCAAAGGGCAGAGGCTGCTCAGGCTGAGAATGGAGGGGGTCTCCTGCTGCCCTTCAGCCCAGCAGAGGTGGTGGCTACCCCTGACCACGTTCCTGCCTCACTCACACTCCTCCCTTTCTGCTCCTCTTCCAGAGAAGGACTTACTGCCAGCCGTGCCGTGGTGACAGATGACGGACAGGAGGTCGTAGGTGGTGATCTGGGACACGCACTCCTTGGCCAGGAAGGGTCGCAGATCCAGCCCTTCCAAGGGGAAGGAGACGTGGCTGTTGATCTTGAAGGAATACATCACCTCGTGCCGGAACCGTTTCAAGTGGATGCAAAGGATCTAAAAGACCAAGAGCAGAGGACACCAAAGGGCAGTTTTGCCATGGGAGCTCTGGGAGCACAGCACATCTCTGCGTGTCTGATCTTTGCAGGAGTTCTTTGCCTGTTTCTCATGAATCCTGCTGGCTCACTAGCTTAGACTGAGAAAGTCTCTTCTGATCTAAATACAGATCAGATTTTTTTTGCCACCAAAATAACTGCTGGGTTTATTCTGCCTATGGCCTTCTGACCTCCTCAGTGGCTGCTAAAAGAGGAATGGGAAACAAGGTGCTTTTACCCACCTCTGGGAGCCGGAGGACTTTGCAGTACTTTACTCCATTCCTCAGCCTGAGGGAGGAAAAGAAATGAGTTGTGAGGACTCTCTCTCTCTTTCATCAACAAAGGCACAGCTGAGTCTTGCTCACTTTGGAATCCAAGACAAATCCTGAATTCCAGCAGAATTGTCCACGCAGAGGACACAGCAAAATATCTGATAGCAGTATAGAGAAATAAAATTCCAGAAAAAAAAACTCCAGACATGCAACACAAAACATGCCAACTTACTTCTTACACCGTTCACAGCTGTACATGTTGTCCCCTGTAGGGAGAGAAGAGAGCCATTATGTAGCTGCCCAGAATATACAAAGCTGACACAGCTACCTTTCCAGACAGTGCAGAGAAAGAAGATTAAGAGCCTTTTGGGCAGGCCAGGATGAGAAGAGATCAAAACAACTTCTGTCAGTAACTGTAGGCAAGAAAGGGATGCAGCCAATTAACAGGATGCAGCCAATTAACAGGAAGAATGAGAAAGTGAAGAAACTGAGGAGCCACAGCACTCAACCAACCAACAGCTCTGCCTGCTCCACACTGAGGACACTCTCACCCAGATTTCCCACCCCTGAGCAGGTAGAAAAGTTCCCTCCTGCTCAGAGATGCTGAGCTGCCAACTTTTGGCACTGCCAGTCTCTAATACACACCAAGGCAGGATTTCTAGGAGATTTAATCTGCCTTCAAAATGCATACGGAATGCTGCTCCATGCTGTCAGACCCCACCAAAAAAACTCACCCTTCAACTCATCTGCTGCAAAAAAGGCAGCAAGGCAATCCTCCAGTGTCACCACGGGACCCCAAAACCAGCTAGGGATACAGGACACCACAAATCTGCAGAGGAGAAGGAATTAAGAGTTATAAATAAAATAGCTGAATGCTTTTGCACACAAAACCCCAAGTGGATGATAAATTTTCTTCTAGCTGTAGGTCCTAAGCTCATCCCACATCCCAGAGGAGCCGGGAAAGCACAGCTGCTCTCAGCTGATGTTCCTACTCAAACTGGAAATCATTTGGAAAACTACACCAGGAATTAATTTGCTCTGGTGGGCAAGTCTGAGGCAGCAGTGAGGGCTGATCAGCTGCACAGGAGCTCTCAAGGTGTGCGAGAAATCTAGAGGAGCAGTAACAACTGGTCCACATTTGGGCTCAAAGCCCTGTGAGGTACCACATACTGTCCTCCAAGGAATGGCTCCAATTGAGATCCCAATGTTAACACCACTGGTTGGGAACAGCTGCCTTCCATCACTGCAGGGCAAATCCCAGAAAACAGAGGTCCTGCAGAGGGAACACACCTCCGGATATACTCCATGATGAAAGCAATCCAGCCTTGTGAGGCATAGGTGTCCCCACATGCCCCTGTCTTGGCTGGCACATTTTGGTAGATGGCAGAGTGCAGCTTGGCCAAGTCTTCTTTCCCTGGGATTGGGAGTGACAGGTCCTGGAACGTCTCCACTGTTGTAGAAACCTGGAAATATCCAAGAGGAACAGGTCAGGGTTTCCCGTGTGTGTAACGGAGCTGGCACCTGACCTTCATCACCTTTTATCACTGCTTGGCTTTAGCCTAGGCTAGAAACCTGAACTGGCAGCAGGAGTAACTCCCTGTGGCTAATTATTCTTCCCTGCTGTCAGCACTGACTTCTGTCACAGGTTTTGTAGCAGTGGACTCAGTTTCCTAATGTGAATGTGATAGTGCTGGGTCAACTCAGTAACACAGGTCAGCAAACACAGAAACACATCTCCGTGGCATGGCAGATTCCCACACCTCCCCTGCCATCATCTATGGCCACATCAGCAGGTGCTGCATGCCACAGGGTTTGGAAAGAGCAGCACCATTCCCTAGGAAGAGCTCTACAAGCACAAAGCCTGTGCTGGTGACTGGGAGGGCCCAGGCCACTCACTCTGTCGCAGGTGAGGCACTGCACCAGGCTGAGGATGGAGCCGTCGAAGATGTCGGAAATCACACTGCGGTAACGGAGCTCTTTCTTCTTTTTCCCAGAAGCTTGCATCTGGGCTGGAAAACAAGGAATGACCCTCTCAGTCTCAAGTCTCCAGAGTCACATAAGAACACAGGACAAGCATTGTTTTGCTGTTCAGACCCCATCCCAGGGACATGGCGAGGCAAGTTGTGACGAGACACAGAGGACTCTGCTGCTGTGTGTGGTACGAGGGAGAGGAAGCCAACTGAACCAAGACCAGCTGGCTCTCAGGAGGCAGAAATTATTGTACTGTGACTCCTGTTTCCAGCCTTTCACATGTTTAGAAGCCCAGCCCTGCCACAGACAGCTCAGGTTTTCTGAGGTCTTGTGAAACTTTGCTCCAAGCTTTGCATTTCACTTCCTCTCCCCTTCACCTGCCTCTCTACTTTGTCCTTTTTTTTTTCCCCTCTGATATTTACCACGTGGTCCCCAAGTGTCTTGCACTGGAGAGGACTCTCCACAGCAGGGATTGGCCAAATGCAAGGTTTTGTTTAACAACAAACCCTGTACCCACACACACGTGCAGGCAGACAGAGTGGTTTTCATGCAGCCAGAACATCTGCAGCTGTGCTGACCTCAGCCAAGGGGCTGAAGGAAGAAAGAATGTCCTCATGGAGCAGCTGGAGGGACAGTGGTACAAGCACAAGCCATTGTGTTTGCAGACTATGCAGCACTGAGGGATTGTGATTTGCAATTTGCTCTGGGATGAAGGGACCAGTTTGATAACAACACAAGCCAAGCTCCATTCTGCAGCCTGACTGTGCTCCCTGCACTGCAGGGACATCTGCAGCCCTAATTCCATTCCTGTGAGCTCGAGATGTCCAAGAGGCAGGAAGCTCTGTCAGTAACAGCATCTTACAGTTCTTTGGCCCACATACCATGAAATTCCAAGTCTGGCAGACAAATGTTTATGTATTGCCACACTCCCCTAAAGGGACAGAGCTTGTGCCTGGGACTTGAGACCCATTTTATTAATGGCAAACACAACACACAGATGCAGACATGGATCATTTGAGGCTCCAGTATAAAAACACACTAGAACATCACTGTACCCAGAGCTTGACTTTATCTGCAGGTTTACTGTAGTCTTACCAAATACTGTTTTAGAACACACTGATATCCAGGAGATACATCTGTTAATCAAGAATCATAACGGATTCCTTCTCTCCCCTCCTCTACATGCTCTCCCCTTTGCCTCCCAGCAATCCCTCTTTGCACTACCTTTCTTGAGTATGTAGGAAGGTCCAAGCCTGGCAGGACTGGAGCGGGGAGGACTGCTGGAGAGCTTGGAGTGCATTTCATGATGGACTGGGCTGCAAGGGCGTGAGGAGCAGCGCACATAGGCATCGTTGTCAGGTTCTGTTTGGGAAAATGAGGAGGGAAAAGGGCACTGGTGAAAAGCCCAGCTATGAAAGACAATTCCACTGCAATCTGTATCAGCCTAGCTCAGTGTTCCAGCACAGAATCTTTCTCAAAGAACAGTTCAGTGTCCAGTAACTGTCCTGTTTGCACAGGCTGGCAGACACAGCTCCCTCAAACACGGGGGAGAGTGTATACAGAGCTGTACCTAACAGCTAATAATTACATACTAGAAAACCCCAGAAACAAACCTGCCATTTTTTCACACTTATGACTAATTAGATTTTGCAGCTTGCTCCTGTAGCCCTAAACCACACAGACAGCATTGCTGCCTTCAGTGCCAGCTGGCAGAGTGAGACTCATAAAGAAGCGTTGAAAGATCGGATATGTTCGGCTTGAGGTGACTCCACACTGCTGCTCTTTTCTTTTCCCTGAGACACAGAAATACTCAAACTGGGCCTCTCCCTTTTCTCTCCCCAAAGTCCACAGTCCAACACTAGCAAAAAACTGCTGCCATGCCTTTTCCACAGCTAGTATTTCTCCAGGCCAGTGTATGAAATTAAGAGACATACACATACCAAACCTTTGTCTTAAAAGGCATCAATACAGTGTTTGCAGGCTTGGCAGAGGCAGCTCTCGCTGCTGTGCCTTTACTCAGCTCACAGCCTGGCTAAGCACCTCTCTGGCTCACCAAGTACGCTTCCTTACAAAAGCAATTGTGCACAAAGGCAGGGACCAAGGAAAACCTTGGATGCAAAATCTTTTGAAACATAGAGAAGGAACAATCACACTATGTGTTTGCCACTGCATTACACCACAGTGCCTGTGGAGGATGGCAACACATCTTCCTGGAAATATCCTGACTGAAAGAGGGGTATACCTGGTGTCCTACATGGGCTGGCAGGACAGGGAGCTGGCAGCATCTCAGGTGAGGCTCTGCCATCGACTGGCATCATCGTAGTATCAACATCTGCATCCTCATCCACCTGCTCTGAGTTGCTGCGCCGATGGCCACAGGAAAACTTTCTGTCCTTCATCCTCTCTTTTTCTGAGATCCCTCTCCCTGCTTCATCCTGGATCAGCAGCTCTGTCTCTGCCAGGGAGCTGCTGCCCATGCTCCCCGAGGTCCGACTCTGGCCCTCTCCTTCACCCCTGTCACTGCTGGAGTCACAGGAGAGGAACTCATCCTCTGAAGGGCTTCGGTCGCCCTCCCGCTTGTCCTCCTGGTCACTGGTGTCCAAGTCCCTCGTCTCTGCAACAACAGGTTCCTTCAGTTCTTCGTGGAGCTGATCCATCAGGCATCTCAGGAACTCCTGGGTGTCCTGCAAACCAAGGCTCCGTGTCAGTATCCAGCCAGAAACGTGGCAAATGAGAGAGGCAAAAGAGGAGATGGCTCCATTCACAGCTGATTCCAAGAGTGCCCACAAAGGTGAGCCTGCTCTGCAGCACACACACCCAGCTGAAGCAGGGCCATGCACCAAAGCATTTCTGTCACAGAAATGCTTTGCCTCCTACATAATTAAAGGCCCATTTTTTTTATCTGAGTATCTTAAGCTGAAAGACTTTGAAAAGACAGAGAACCAGCTGTAGAAGGCAAACCAGGAGTGCATTTATCAGGCATTTATCAGAGATAATAGGGAAAAAGCAAGGAGAAACCTGATGAAAACAGCAGGCCCTGGAGAACAGACTCCTTCCCACAAACACATCTTAGGAACACTGACTTCTGGTCATGGCAAGCCACCTCTTAGAGAGGGTAAATTAAAATCTTTAATAAACAGGGAGAGGAACCAGAAACTCAAAGATATACAGTCTAGCTGCAAGCTCCTACATTCATAATACATGGTAAAAGAGTTGATACATTGGCTTCAAAGGAGCTGCTGGAAAGCAAGCTGGTATTTTGACAACTGCAGAAAGTTAATTACGACCTTTCAGTTGTCTTATGAAGTTTGGCTTTTAGCCTGCCATGCCTACCTTTCAAATCTATCTCTTCAGATCAGTGTTTTCCAATCCAACGTATTTCACATCAAAGACAACTATAGAAGTTCTTTCATTAATCATTATTTTTATTCTTTGTTTTGATTTCTTGTCACTATTACAGTTTTGATGCACTGTCACTTCTCTAGTAAATTTTCTAATCATAGTTCATTGTTTACATTTTGTCATAAAGAACAAACAGAAAAGCTACGCTGAGAAAGGCTTCAAAATAAAAAAAGAGGATACTACCTTTAAATAAGACCTAGTTTTGCTGTAATTCCCCAGAAAAAGAAAATAGAACATTCATATCTTTGAATTCTTAGTACAGATTTATCCAGGTTCCTCAGCTCTGACATGAATAAATAATACCAAACTCCTATACAGCAGATATCAGTAGATCTCAAAGCTGTTTATAAAGGATTTGTCTACCATCATTTCAGAGATGAGCAAGCTGACACAAGGGAATGAACTGATTTGGTACCAACAAGCCAGAGGCAAGCCTGGAAAAGAATCCAAGTCTCCCAAATCCCACCCAAGTGCTCTATCAGATCACTGATATTGACACAGACAGGCCATGACCCCCAAGCTCAAGCTCTTCCTTCTAAACAGAAGCATCACCACTACAAGAATGAAACTCCCTCTGTCTTTGGAATAACAGCATGGGTTTTTTCAGGCCCCACCTGCTGTGCATAGCCTCGGAACATGGGATTCACGAGCTTGATTCCATGGGATAGACTGCTTGGAACAACATAACTTGGGCTGTTTAGACATGGAAAAAGAAAAGAAAGAGTCAGTTTGCTTGTTGGGCTTGGAGCCAGATTGTCTAACAGGCCATAACAGAGGGTGTGGTGTGTAGTTAAAGAGGCCAAAAGATAATTATGCACCTGCAAATCCTGAGCAGAGATTTCTGCATGAGCTAGGTGACAAACACACCAAGAGACAGAAACACCTTGCAGTCATTTCAGTCTGTCTTTCCAGAGAGACCCTTGCCCAAAACACATTTCATTTACAGCTCTGTCACACTTTGAGTGTGGGAAGTGATTCTTTCCAGAACAGAATTTAGCAATTAGTTAGTTTGATTTTCCAGCACCATGTCTGTCTCAAAATCTGGGCAGGCTGATCACCCAGTAAATGGGATAAATTCAATCAATGTTAAAATGACATGATATTGCTTCAAAGCCTGCAGCCTCCTCCTCTACAAAGACACAGTTCACCTTGCTCCATATCTTGCTTATTCCTTGTTAATAATGAACTTGAGGCAAACATGCAATGCCATTTAAATTCCTGCTTTGATGGGGTTTAATTTATTGCACAGAGCAGACATCTTCAGATTTAAACAGAGCTACATAATTTTGCACTGTCCTTTGAACTGGTCCAGAATTTGAATCAATAGCAAACAATTCCCAAAATGTCACCTGCATTTTCCACTTTATTCAGTAAAAATCTCTGAATCACTTTTTCTACCCAAATCATCAATTCCTCTGCTAATCAAAAGCAGTGCAATTAAATGCTGGCTACTGAAGTCCATGTAAAATATTTGGAGATAGCCTCAAGTTCCCTTACTCCATCATTTGTTCTTCATTGCCAACAGGGGAACTGTATTTTAAAAAGCTCTTCCTTTTTAAAATTGTAATATTAAGAATTAATTCTTTTCATTGACATCAACATGCCTATTTCATCACCAGCACCAGAGATGGGATCTCCTGGATCCCAGGGAATCCTTAAATCCCCATCCACACAGGGGGTTAAATCACTGCCTCAGACAATGCATTTGTCCCTGAGGATCAGATTTCCTCTCTGCTGATGCCAGGCCTCAGAACTAACACACCTCTGAGACCTGGCCAGGTTAGACCAGGGGTCACCACGCACCGTTTCTTGTGCCAAACCTCAGACACCAACTTCTGGTAGCTTTTGCACAGGGCAGGTTTCTTATCCGTCCGGACCAGTCCACCACATTCCAGGAAAAACTGTGTGAGAGGTGGGCTACAAGAGAAGGAAAAAGAGAAGAATTCAGCCCACAAAAATTCCTCCTCTGCTTATATTTATTTATCAAAACTTCATGCAGGCCTTATCAAAACCATGCTTAGGGTACTGATTTTAAACCAAGGGAAGAAGTGGTTCCAGATGCAGATTGACTCCTCACTTGGATCAAATGAAAAGGCTGATCTGAACCTGTTCTCAGTACAGAAAACATCCTGGAATTGGGTTTCAGCAGGATGGCTAGAGAATATTTTAGTATATAGGTTATTAGAATGATATCAGTGGGGAGAATAAAGAGACGTGGTACAGCTTTCTCTGGGATAAATAATTTCTGTTGCAACAGAAATGATGACGTTTTACTTCAAGCATTAGTCTAAACACGAGCCTTGTACACAGCCATGAGCTGGCTGGTCCTTCAATTTCCTACTGTAACATTTCTGTTGCCCTAAAAAAACACTATTTTTTTCTGTCCCCAGCCTGGCTAATCTCTCTTTGCAAGACTCATGAAGGTTTCAGATCAGAGGTGACATTTTTGATATTTAGTGAAGCCAGTTAGGACAACACTGAAAGCCCTAATGCCTACCAGTTTGAGAGAGCCTGAAGTGCTGCATTCATGTAGCAGGAGTTCCCAAGATTTTTCATTCCAGTAAGGCCTAAAGCACAAACAAGAGAGGGATGAATCACTTTCAAGATGTGCTGCCTTCTATATTCCTCCCCAGGGAGAGGGAATCCAGCCCTTTCTAAGCAGTCTCCACATTCTGCTGCCAGGAACCCTCTCAGTGCAGGTACTACAGACTGCAGAGTTGCCCTGCCAGCCCTTTCATCAACTCAATGCAAAGTTACCTCTTGGTTTCAAGTCATCATCCTCTGATTCAGATTCACCTTCATCAGCCACTGCAATGGGAACAGCTTTCAGAGGGTGAGCAGGCAAAGGAGAATCCTAGATTAAAGACAGAGAAATAAGTATCACTCACAGGCCTGCTTTGAAAGATGAGCTGTGAGAGATATTATCTTACATATAAATCAAGCCAGCCTTCAAGAAAAGTAGAAGGAGAAGGAAGAACAGGTTGCACTGTCTACCCATCTCACTGAGGCAGCAGGGAGTGGAAATAGTGTCATTACTGCTTCCAGTACATGTGATAAGAAACATCAGGAATGAGCAGCAGTGTCGCAAGTACATTGTGTTTCTGGTCTGACAGCTGAAATTTCCATGGGCCATGCATTGGAAATGAAAATGTGACAGAAAGGTTCTTCTCACATGCAGATACCCCATTGGAAAGGTTAAAAATAAAGTCAGAATGGATATTCAAGTCACAGAATCACAGCATCATAAATGGTTTGTGTTGGAAGGGACTGCAAAGGTCATCTAGTTCCCACCCCTAAGTCATTTGTCTGTCTGCTGGGACACCCTGCAAGTCAGGGCTAGTGGTCTCCTGGCTACAAGCAGCCACTGTCACAGAAGGTATCCCTGTGACAGCAACGCTGCACCATGGCAGGAGTCACTTGGCTAATTTTACACTAGGCAAATGAAACCTTGCCAAGCTCCCAGGCCTGCCCTGTGTGACACACAGACCCACCGGCTCAGGGAACTTGCTGGGGGGTGAGGGTGGCTGGGCTGCCAGGCGCTGCTCCAGGAACACCTCCTTCTCACAGGCATAGCACCACACACGGAACGTGGTCAGGTTCACCGTCAGGTTGTGCTTCTTGGCCTGGAAATTGAAAATTAAACAACAGATCTCCTCTGGTAGCTAGCCTGGGCTGGAGCACAGGACTACCAGGACATGGAACAGGGAAAATCCAATTCTGTCTGTTTAAATGTGGGGAATAGAGAAAAGCTCACCTGTGCATGAAGTGTGCTGTGGTCAGCAAAGGACTCCCCACAACCAACATAAGGACAACCAATCTAGAAAGGGGAAAGAGCCAAAGCACAATGGGCACATCAAGTTAGACTCTTTAGAAAACAGTCCCAGCAGCAGCAACAACTTCAGAATTATCTTCCCGGTCTTCTAACCTGTTTTTTATTCAGGGCCCAAAACAAGATGGAAATTTAGAATTGATGGAAATTTACATTTGATTTAAAAAAGAAAACCTGGAACCAGATTTGCACCCAGGCAAAGTCTCTGTTGCAAGGCCATTACTCCAACAGGAATCTCATCTGAGCAGCCCCAAGCCTGCGCATTCCAGCGTAAAAATAAACAGTCCCTGCCGGCCCAAATGTCCCATGGATTTCCTCCCTCCTCACTTCCAAGGTGTCACCCTGTAGCCCCTCCACAGGTGCCAGCACAGGCAACACCCAGCCAACAACCATCACAGGGGAATTTATTCATTCCTACTGGGAATGACAAGGGCAATCCCCTACAAGGAGTGAACTATTACATCTTGTCAGATTGGGACAGTGTTACCCTCTCACCTGGAGAGTCTCCTCCTTGGAGTCCATCAAAAAAACATGTATAGTTCTATAGTGAACCCCTTCTTTGCTCCCACTGTCTTTTCAGTATAAATGCTATTTGAGTGAATTCCACTACATCATGCACACAAACAAGGCATTTTTACCTGAAGACAAGCCCAGAGGTTTGGTCCCGCAGCTCCACAAGACTGGCAAGTTCCCTGCATATTCATGATAAAAGAAGGTTTGTTTGCTTGGTTGGTTTTTAAATAACCAAGTCCTTAAAGAGTGAGAAACTTTTCTACAAAACAGCCCAACCTTTAGCTCACAGTATTTCATGCCTTTCACCACACTTCCAATCAAATACACAACTGCACCCCTTTAGCTAAAGTGACACATTCAAGCAGGATAAAATGACTATGAGAAATTTGTGGGGTCACAAAGGGTGATTTTATGGGACCTGTGAGTACACTACTGGGGGAAAGAGAGTCTCTCTCTGGAGACAGGCAGCATTTTCTTCAAAAAGCAAACATGCAAATCCATGCACAACAGCTAAAAGGGAAAGAACTGAGGGCCACAACCCTGTACCTTGGATTTGAGCAGCAGATCATCCCTGGTCACCTCTCCTATGGAATCCAGGTGAGGACAGATATCCCTTGTATCCCCCATTTTCACCAACACTCATGTGAGGAGGGTTTCCTATAACAAAAAAGGATGACTCCTTTCACTACAGGTCAGATTTGCTCTCATGACTGAAAAAGACACCTGGGCATGATTTGCGTATTAGAGTTCCATATCTATCTTTAAGGCTCAGAGATTGAAACAAATCTGGCACAGTCTGGCCCCACTGCTGAGTGGCTGCGTTGTGGTATTGCAGGGAAGGAGCAAAGCCATGGGGAGGAGAGAGAAACAAATAAAGCTAATAATCCATATCATGGAAAGAGCCTTCAGAGATGATGGGAGGTGCTCAGCACACAGGCACAGCTTCAGCTGCACAGATACAAATCTAATTAGCTCATTTGCATGAAACTCTGACGAAAAGTGAAATGTGCTGCAGCTCATGACCAGTACTTAGCCTGTGGTGTCTGAGCTTCATGCACCCAACTGTGCTGATCTAACATTTCCTCGTTACACTACTTCATCGAACATTGAAAATATGATTAGTTCTAAATGAAGCTGGGCAAGAGGGAAATAGACTTAAGTGAACTGTAACACTGATAAGCAGGCTCCAGTCTCTGAGGAATTTACCATTTCAAGAGTAGATTTTTAACAGTATGAGCCACATAACTCAAATTCTCTACAAAACATAACAAAACACTGCTCCACCCAGCCCGTATATGCAAGCACCACAAGAACAGATGATTTCATAGCTTATGAACAAAATAAACACTTTTATGGTGGTCCGTGGATATATGCATGTATGTATATATGTATTTAAATATGTCTCAGTAACATGCAGCTATAAAAAATGAAAAGAGTTTGTGTTTCTTAAGCATAGCTTGAATAACCTTGCTCATGGCTCTTAAAAAAGTAGAAAAGAAGATAAGTGATATTAATAGCACAGACAAGGATCCAAAATATTACAGTTGGCTAGAAATTAAGCAGATGTGAAGAGCCCACATTATTGCAATAAAGAAGTGGAAAAATCTGATTAACTTGATGTTAATGACTCCAGTAGCCTCATGGCTGCTACACTCTGGGTTTTTTTCACATTTTGAGGACATTTGAAACAATTCCCAGTCTTATCTGGTCTAAATCACTGACAGTAGGAAGAAAAAAAAATTATAAACTAGTAGGCCATATCAGTAACACTTATCTTGGGAATGAAAAAGCTTGCCTAGCACCTTGTCTTAGCAGAAGATAAACCTCAAGGCTAATTTTACCAGCACTCTTTAGAACTCAGTAAACTAATGGGAGGAGCAAAGAGAGAAGAAATCTTATGTGCATGGTAAAAACACCACAGGGGTGCTGACCTGGATCTCAGTAACCTGTGAAGAGAAGCTTAACAAACAACAGAGCAATTTCATGCAGTTTCACAGAGAAGGAACATAGCACCATGTAACACATATTTATTTAAAATACAAATGACAAGAGAACAGTAGCTTTCACTAACACATAAAACTGGGATATTTCAGGCTCTGAGTTCCTTCACCAAAAGAGGCCCCTTTCCCCAAATGCATCAGCTGGTCCAATTTAAAAAAAAAAAAAAGTATCAATGCTACATCTGCTATTTCACCATCCTTGATTTCTTATCTCTCTCCCAGATGTTCCCCAGAAAATCTAATGAACAAAATACTGCTTTAAAATGAATTCCAGACTTCATATCTTCACCATCTTAAGCTAACTGGGAACTGGTTTTGAAGCACACTTTGTTAAGTAGAATCTTCTGGATGTGAATGATTGCAGTGCATTCTGTGGGATCACCTCTCTCCTCAAAATCAAAACCATGTCTTTAGACTCTCCAGCACTGAGGTGCTGATCTTCCCACACAGCGCTTCCCTTTCTGAACAATGCAGGGAAAATCTCATTTTCACCTCTCAGCCCTGACCACATACACCAGAATAAGGTCTGTGACTGTTCAGAGGGAAATATTCAACTTCTGTCTTCCCACGACTCTGTCCTAAGAGCTATAGCTGGCACACACAGCTCTAAATTCTGCTCAGGAAACCAGGAATGTCATAAAAACACTGCCAGAGAGCTGAACTGTGCTTGTCAAAATGTACTGTGTATGATGGGAAAAGAAGTTACCCTAAAACAAGTCCTTCAGCCTGTCTTTCTCAAGCACCGCTGAGGGAGAACAGTACACGAACATGTCAGAACAGTTCCTCCGTAACTGCAACCTACTTTCAGTCGCTTCAACTGCTGCCAAACCCAGCGTCTCTGCCATCTACAGGAACACATTTCTAGGTTTTTGCTGGTTGTTTTTGCTTCTTAAAACAACTCTGTGGTTTTGTACCAAAGCTAGAGCCAGCTGTCAAGAGTTTCAGATCCATGCAGGCTGACATTCTTCGGAGCAACTGCACAAATAAAAGAAATCTTTGCACTGTTCATCTACAAAACAACTACCAGGTCTGGTCTTGCATAACCTACCAAGAGAAAGAGGTATCTGCAGTTGTGCTCTGAGACATTTTATACTTGAGATACTGAAAAAAGAAATATTTACCCAACTGCCCTACTAACAGAAAGCAGGTGCTCCTGGCACACAGCTCTATCAGGTATGGGGAAACCAGGTTTATGTGCAACACGCAAAGGAGAGCAGGTCTAAACACTAATTTGTTATGGGAGATCACAACACAATGACTCACCTAGAGAATTATCTTTCAGGCAAAAAACACCTGCGGGAAATCTCCCCTTGCCCTCTATGTCACTCCTCAAGTGCAGCAGACCCCCATGATACAAGTCCCCTCCTGACAGGCACTACAGCTGCCGGACACGAGCGAGGCTGAACAGAAACAGCCTAAAGCCGCAAGGTCCCGCTCCCGGGGCCGGCACCAGGCCCGGGGGTGCAGGGTCGCCCCAAGGCCGGGGCACGGCAGGAGCCGGGCCGGAGCCCCCGCGGCCGCTGCTGCTGCATCATCCCCGGCGCGGCCCGGCCGCCCTCCCTCCGCACAGCCCCGCCGCCCCGGCCCGCGGCCCTCGCTCACCTGCGGGATGCCCGGGGCGTCCCCGCCCCCGCCGCAGGCCGGGCCGCCGGGAAGGGCCGCGGGCCCCGAGCGGAGCGGGGAAGCGGCGGAGGAGCGGCGGGCGCCGCGCAGGCCGGGGGCGGAGCGGGGGCCGGGCCCGGTGGGGCGGGACGGGGCGGGACCGAGCGGAGGAGGCGGTGGCGGCGCTGACCCCGCGGGGTCCCGGGGCCGGGCCCGAGGGCTCCCCGAGCAGTCGGGGCTCAGCCCCCAGGGTTGGTGCTGGAGGGGCGACCCGCAGCTCGTTTGGCCGGGGACCCAACAGGGCGGCTCGGTGCTCGGTCAGCGGGGAGCAGCCGGGTGAAGGGGCCGCGTCCCGCCCCAAGGGCTGGGCTGTAACCCCGGGTGTGGGACCCACGCTCGCTGCCCACGGCGCCTTCTCTGTACGCCGTCCCTGACAGGCACCGGCCACCGGCGGAGGCTGCGATTGCGCGAAAAGGAACGAGCCTCGTGGCTCACACGAGGTCTTCCCAGAAAAGACAGTGCATGGCCCGGGGTGCGGGCGGCACGAGGGCTCCCGGGCCCGTCGGGGAGGGCACGGAGCGCTGCCGGCCCCGCTCGGCGGGACCGCGGCTGCTGCCCGGCCGAGGTGCGGGCAGAGGGGCGGCTCTCCCGGCTTCGCCGCGGGGCCGTGGCGTCATCGCGGCGCGCCGCGGCAGCGGGAGGGAAGCGGCGGTGCGGGAGCCGTGGCACGGCAGCCGGAGCCATGCCGGGCCAGAAATCCTTCCGCCGGCGCAGGGAGGACGAGGAGGAGGAGGAGGAGGACGAGCAGCTCGCCGAGGAGGTCAGGTGGGTCGGGCGCCGGCGGGGAACCCGGCGGGGCCCAGCGGGAAACCCAACCGCGGCCGGCCCTGCGGCGGTCGAGGGGCGGGCCGGGACCCCGGGACCGCTTTAGGCCAGCAGTGCCGTGTCCGGGAGTCGCGACATCGTCAGACATCGTGTCGTGTCGTGTCGTATCGTCACGTACGGCTGTGCTGTGAGCGGTGACGTCACGTATTGCCGTGCGGAACCGCTGTGTTGTGGCGTGACGTCACAGCGTGCGTCACAGCCTGATGTGATCACAGACGTTACGGATTCCTCTCAGTTTAGGGAGAAACTCTTGCGATTTCAATTCACCATCAATTTTCTTCAGAGTCGCTCATGCCTGCATGTATTTTGGCTCGTCCTTCCCAAACTGGCTTCTTCTTCAAGACTTTCTTTTTTTCTTATTGCTCAAATGCGTGGGATCACTTAATTAAATAGAAAATACCTATTTAACTTGAAACCCAAAAAGTGGATGCTGATATGCAGAGGTTTAGGGCAAAGTTGACGTATCAAGTACTAAGTCAAATGTATTTTTTTTCTTTAGGTTAAAACTTGAGGAAGCCAAAGAAGTTCAGAGCCTCAGAAAGCGGCCCAATGGGGTGAGGTAAGGGATGTGACACTGGGGAGGGGTATGTGTATTTTGTCTAGAGGTGTGATGTGACAGTCAATTTCTCTCTTGTCATCTGCATCCTTCCAGTACAAACCATTATGTCAAGACACTGCTGAAATTATGTTCCTGACAGAGGAATTTCTATGTTAAAGCCTGAGGATGGAAAAGACAGGGAGACTTAGGGAGGGATAAAGCAATGCAGTATTGTTGGTGCTGTGTTTCCTTCTGCTGAATTTTATCTTCTTTCTTTATCTGCCTGACCAGTGCTGTAGCTCTGCTGGTGGGAGAGAAGCTGCAAGAAGAAGCCACACTTGTGGTAAGTGCTGGACAGTTCCATCACCTCGGGGCTCAGATGTGGTGGTGTGAGAACACTGACTGTGTCAGACCAGCCTGGGGCAGGACTGGTGTCACAGCTCAATTCCTGAATGTCTCCCGTGGTTTTATCCAGATTTTGAAGACTAGCATTAAACTAGAGGGAAGCTTCAGGGGTTTTTGTTATGTCTTGTTTTACAGGATGACCCATTTAAGATAAAATCTGGGGGAATGGTGGACATGAAGAAGCTGAAAGAAAGAGGCAAGGACAGGTAAGTACATGTGAGCTCTGAAAATCTCTCCCTGGACTAGTATTTAATGACAACTGGTAATTAATTAACCAGAGGTTGTGTAACTTTGAAGAGTTTCATATAATGCAGTCTGACTAGTTACTTTTGCTCTGACTTGTTAAATTACTTTTAAAAAACCCACCACACACACCTCTCTCAAAAAACCCAAACAGCCAACATAAAAACCCACCAAAACCTGTAAACATTGTGGTTTCCACTTAGGATTAATGAAGAGGAAGATCTGAACTTGGGAACTTCCTTCTCAGCAGAAACCAACAGGCGGGATGAAGATGCTGACATGTGAGTCGTGCTGTGTTGTGTCTCTGCTGTTGAATCAGGCTGGGTGGCCCCTCACCATTTCTTTTTTTTATGTTGTGGATTCTGAGTAGTCCCAGGAGATCTTCCCAGTTCTCACTGAAAGTTTCCCTTGCCCTTTCACTTCCCACCTTGTGGAGTTGAGAAGGCTTTTTCATGGACAAAGCTAGGAGGTGCCAACCAGCCAGCTTGGCTCTAAATCCCAATGGGAGCCTTCCCTGCTGGCTGTTAAAGACCTTGGAGAACATGATTGTTTCTTAGACAATTAATTCTTGCTACTAATATTAGCTGAGTGCTTTTGGAGAGATGATTCTTTCCTCTCTCCCAGCTGTCAGCACAGGAATGCAGCTGTGCTCCAGCAGTGCAGAACACAGTACAGGAACAGAATTAAATGCCCTGTCCCTTGTGTGCTGTTCAGGATGAAGTACATTGAAACTGAGCTGAAGAAGAGAAAGGGAATTGTGGAGAATGAGGAGCAGAAGGTGAAGCTTAAGAATGCTGAGGACTCCCTGTACGAGCTGCCAGAGAACATCCGTGTCTCCTCTGCCAAGAAGACTGAGGAGATGTTGTCCAACCAGATGCTGAGTGGCATTCCTGAAGTGGATCTGGGAATCGAGTATGTGTTTCACAGACCTGTGGGTGCTGGCCAGGACTGCCAGGATGAGCAGCTGTTGGCTGGCAGAGCAGCACTATGCCTGGATGACACATCCCCAGTTTGGGATGGGATGGGATTGAGCCTTGTTCTGGATTGGTCTGATTGGTCTAGGGGCTGATTGCACCAGCCCCAGGGCTTGGTGCAGCTCCATCCTGTGACTTCTGGGAAAAGGCTCTTCTGTGACCTGAGCCTAGCAGCTTTCTGCAGGACCTCTTTGTGTCCTGCACTGAAGATAGGACCTGCTTCAAGATAGGAGCTTCCATTTTGCCTTTGAGACAAAGTGTCTGTTTCTATAGCACTGCCTCCTCTCTCAAAAACTGCATCAGATGCCACAGCAGTGCTATTAGTGTTCTCCAGATCCATGCACCTAGCACTTCTGAGCCTGCTACCCTTTCTAACTGAGTATTTTTTTTGCTTCTAGTGCAAAAATAAAAAACATCATCTCAACTGAAGAGGCCAAGGCCAAGCTGCTGGCAGAGCAGCAGAACAAAAAGAAAGACAGTGAAACTTCCTTTGTTCCCACCAACATGGCTGTTAATTATGTCCAGCACAACAGATGTAAGTAATGAGTGTCCCTCCTGACCCAGTTGGGACAGAGAAATTAGTCCATGTATAAACATGTCAGGATTACTTTTCCTGGGTTGCTCAGAGAGACCCTTTCTGGCCTGGTTTTTTCCTTTGCCCATCAGCAAGGAGAGGGAAGTGTTTCTCATGGCTGGGCTTTCTGAACTCCCAGCTGACACTGCCTCATCAATTTCAAGATATTTTTTTTAAGCTGTGCCTTGTGTGCTGGAAATGATGGTGTATGGTGGAGAGACTCCAGTTTGCAGGCTGCCAGAGCAGACAGGGTGGCCAAACAAACAGACCTTATTGGACAGGAGACAGGAATTAATTTCTGTGTGATGCTCTGATGCTGCAGACATCTGAAGGAAAGGCAGCCTTCTGCTGTGCCCTTCCATGCTTACAGGGGTGATGGGAATCAGGTTGGTGTGTTCTGATGGAAGTGAAGAGTGTTTAGCCACTTGAAATAGTGCTGTTGAAATTTGCTCTGCCCCATGTTACCTAATTAACCACAGAAGCCAGTTCCAAGAAGGGTGGTTCTGAGTTTCTGTTCTTTCTGGTAAAGATGACTTTTAACAAATGCCATAGAAATTTATTCATCTGGGTAAGAGTGCTCCAGATAATATTCCTTACCTGAAGTTTTCTTTCTTGCAGTTTATCATGAGGAGCTGAATGCACCAGTGCGAAGGAACAAGGAGGAGCCAAAGCCCCGTCCGCTGAGAGTGGGGGACACGGAGAGGCCAGAGCCTGAGCGTAAGTTCCAAATCTGAATGGCTGTAAGGAGGCACTGAAACTCTTCAGGGGTCTTGTACAGAGAACAATCTGTTTTTCTCTTCTTCTCTGAGTGCCCTGAGGTAGTGGGAGTGGAGCAATCCAAGTCCAAGAGAGCTGGCTGTTGCACCTTTAGATCACACCTGAAACTCTGGATGATGTTTGTAGAGAGAGACATCCATCCTCCAGCTCACGGGTGGAGTGCTGAAGGTCACAACTGAAGTGTTGCCAAAGCTATCTGACAAATGTTTGGTGGAAGTATGGCGGAATAGCAAAAGGTGTAAGGCAATAACTTCACACACTGAGGAACTGTTTAAAGGAGGTGGCAGAGTTCAGAAAATGTGTCTGGTGAACGGACAGGGATATTAAATTGTCTTCTCTTTCTTTTGAAGGGTCTCCTCCAAATCGCAAACGTCCCCTCAATGAAAAAGCCACGGATGATTATCATTATGAGAAGTTCAAGAAGATGAACAGGCGATACTGATGAATGTGGACTGAAGCCTCAGGAGTTGTTCCTATTTTCCACCAATAAAGGATTTTGTGTCAGTGACCTGCGATGGATGTTGGGAAGAGTCACTACCTTCAGATGCTAAAGTTACCTACGAAGCTCTTCCTGTGTGATCTTGTAGTCAATCAGTTTGCAGGTGATTGTGAACTCTTTGGTTGGTGTAACTTGTATATAAATATGTTCTTATAAATGAAGTTTTTTAATGGGAAATGAGCTTTCATGGTTGGCAGTTTTTAGTGGGAAAACAAAGTGGCTTTTATAG